TTTAAAAATTATTTTTCCCCAGGGAGGCAGAGAAGAAGGGAGAATAAATAAAGGTCATAAACTGCCTCTCATCTAGTGCAAGTTACTTATTGATACCAAAAAGCCTAAGCAACATAATAATACCACCAATATATTTCTATCTATGAGTCTAAAGGTCTCAGTGAATTACATATTATGCTGGTGTATAAATCCACAAAAAGGTCAGAGTTTCCATCAAGTAATTCTTCTTAAATGAAGTCATAAGGACTTTATATAGCTACCAGAAACTCCTGTATTGTCCACATAATATCTGTTCCTGTTACTCACTTTTAGCTATCAGGAATTTGTCATGGATGAACAGACAACAAATGCAAAACTTCACTGAAGAATATCTGCTCTAGGTGAAAATATATTGGAATAAGATATCTTATCTGGCCAACAACTGCTCATGAAGGATGTATGCAATCACTGAGATCCCTTATCCTTTCTGTTGAAACAGCTAAATTTCCTTTGGTATATTGCTGTCACCAGGCATACCTCTGAGAACAAAAACATGGAGCTCCAGAGGTCTACAAAGCTGCCATTCCTCTTCATTACTCCAATAACCACAATTTGGAAAGTCTCATAGCAGAAAACAAAGCAAAACACACAAACACCAAAAAAAAAAAAAAAAAAAAAAAAAAAAAAAGCACATGTGTATTTGAAAAAGAAGCTGATGATAGCATTATTATGAGAAAGAATTAAAGGTTATCAGTTTGACATTGCATATGCTCTTTAGCAAATACACAGCTTGAGTATTGGCAGATGGGTATTTCAGATGGTCTCTTGATGATTCTTCTTTGGAGAGTTTCAGTCTCTCTTTTCATACGGAAGTGATTCCTTTGTTTCTTCAGCAGCAATTTTCCAGCTGTCTCATTCCTTCCCCATGAGGATAGTACCACATTTGAATGCCAGGAATCTTTCTTTTTGTGCTGTGTTTTCTATTTTTTTCTACTCTCGCTGCCTTATTTAATTCTCTAGGGTTTTGACAGCATGTCTGAGGTTTGCTGATATTTTAAACCAGTTGTGGATTAAACAGAGCACGAAAAGGACATCAGCCCCCACCTTTTCTGCTTCTGCAGTGTTGGCAAAAAGTCCCAGCACAGTGATATGCCTTCCATCTCCCCCTTGAACCAATCCTCCCACTGCATGCCAGACTTTGCCTGTAGACTCTCTGAACACACACAGCCAGCACAGGGATTCCCAAAGCAGGAGACCTTCAGCACCATCCCCCCCAGCAATGCAAGTTCCTGGCCCAGGGAATCCTCCACAGGGTGAAGGGAAGGCAGAGTCCTTTCCTAAGATGTGCCTGCAGCAACACCATTCCCTCTCTCCTATTACATTTGGACTGTTTTCATCCTTTCTTTGAATTTTGATTCTTTAAAAACAACCAAAACCAAACTCCCAGCCTTTGAATACAGAGTTGGAATTTCAGGTGTGTTCACTGCAGTCAGCTTAGAACGGCAACCCTGAGAAGCAATCTGACCACAGGGGGTCTTTGGACTTTTAGACACAGATACAACTGTTTGTAAGCTTGTGCCTGTGGAATTACATTTTATCTCAGTGATATTTGTAAATAAAGTATCAAAAAATTAAACACAGAAGTCATTTTCAGTAGCTTGATACTCTTGTAAATTTGACACGTTTAATTTGTAGTTTTCACAACCTCAATTACTTGTAAAGCCACTCCTGCTGTTTACCTCACCTCCACAACATACCCAGTGTGGGTGTGTGACAATTATGAGTAGCATTCTAGAACACATTTTCAGCAATTAAGGTAATGTAGATGATTAGGAAACAAGCTCACAAAGTTTGGCAAAGACAATGCTAAGTCCTGCACCTTTCTTTCTGACTTAGTGTGAAATGTTGACTCCTACTGTGGGAAAGTAATAAATTTTTGACTGCTGTTCCTCACATGAATGTTAATTTTGGCCACGAAACATATTTGCTACCTGATACAAAATAAGGAGAAAGGATGAGGAGCCATCTGAGAGCTTAAGGGTCACAATTAAAGGGAAGTCAGGGACAGGAGACAGTATAGTGGATGCCTGCTACAAGCCACCCAACCAGGAAGACCAAGCGGATGAGGTCCTCTATGGACAGATAGGGACAGCCTCACGTTCACAAGCCCTGGTCCTCATGGAGCAATTCAACCACCCCGCTATCTATTGGATGGACAACACAACAGACCATAAGCAATCCAGGAGGTTCCCATAATGTATTGATGATAACTTCCTCCTCCAAGTGACAGAGGAGCCAACAAGGAGAGGTGCTATGCTGGACCTTGTTCTCATCAAGAAGGAGGGGCTGGTGGGGAGTGTAAAGCTCAAGGGCAGCCTTGGCTGCAGTGACCATGAAATGGTGGAGCTCAAGATCCTTAGGGCAGCAAGGAGAGCATACAGCAAACTCACTACCCTGGACTTCAGGAAGCAGAATTTGGCCTCTTCAGGGATCTGCTTGGTAGAATAGCATGGGATAAAGCCCTGGAGGGAAGAGGGGCCCAAGAAATCTGGTTAATATTCAAGGATCACCTCCTCCAAGCTCAGGAGTGACGCATCCCAACAAAGAAGAAGTCAGGTAAGAACTCCAGGAGGCCTGCATGGCTGAACAAGGAGATCCTGGACAAGCTCAAAGACAAAAAGGAAGCCTACAGAGGGTGGAAGCAAGGACAGGTAGCCTGGGAGGAATACTGAGAAACTGTCTGAGGAGCCATGGATTAGGATATGAAGGCCAAAACCCTGGCAGAATTAAATCTGGCCAGGGATGTCAAGGGCAACAAGAAAAGCTTCTATAAGTGTGTCAGTGAAAAAAGAAAGACTAGGAAAAATGTGTGCCCTCTCCAGAATGAAACAGGAGACCTGGTTATCCACAACATGGAGAAGGCTGAGGTACTCAATGACTTTTTTCCCCTCAGTCTTTGCTGGCAAGTGTTCCAGCCACATCACCCAAGACACAGAAAGCAAAGACAAGGACTAGGAGAATGCAGATCTGCCCACTGTAGGAGAAGATCAGGTTTGAGACCATCTAAGGAACCTGAAGGTGTACAAGTCCATGGGACCTGATGAGATGCATCTGTAGATCCTGAGGGAACTGGCAGATGAAGTAGCTAAGCCACTATCCATCACATTTGAGAAGTTGTGGCAGTCTGGTAAAGTTCCTGGTGACTGGAAAAGGGGAAACATAACCCCTGTTTTTAAAAACGGAAAAAAAGAAGACCCAGGGAACTACAGGCCAGTCAGTCTCACCTCTGCTCAGCAAGATCATGGAGTGGATTCTCCTGGAAACTATGCTAGGGCCCAGGGAAGGTGACTGCTCAACGCGCTGGAGGGAAGGGATGCCATCCAGGGGGACCTGGACAGGCTTAAGAGGCAGACCTGTGCAAATCTCAAGACGTTCCACAAGACCAAGTACAAAGTCCTGCACATGGGTCAAGGCAATCCCATGCACAGATACAGGCTGGACAATGAGTGGATTGAGAGAAGCCCTGTGGAGAAGGACTTGGGAGTATTAGTGAATGGAAAACTCACTATGAGCCAACAATGTGAGTTCACAACCCAAAAAGCCAATCACATCCTGGGCTGTATCAAGAGAAGTATATCCAGCAGGTCAAAGGAAGTGATTCTCCCTCTCTGCTCCACTCTTTTGAGACCCCACCTGCAGTGCTGTGTCCAGATCTGGGGCCCCCAACATAAGAAGGGCATGGACCTGCTCGAGCAGGTCCAAAGGAGGCCGTGAAGATGATCGGGGGCTGGAGCACCTCCCTTATGAGGACAGGCTGAGAGAGTTGGGATTGTTCAGCCTAGAGAAGAGAAGGCTCTGATGAGACTTTATAGCAGCTTTCCAGTACTTAAAAGAGGCATACAGGAAAGATGGAGAGGGACTCTTTATCAGGGATTGTAGGGACAAGACAAGGGGTAATGGCTTTAAACTGAAAGAGGATAGATTTAGATTGGATATAAGGAAGAAATTCTTTACTGTGAGGGTGGTGAGGCACTGGCACAGGTTGCCCAGAGCAGCTGTGGCTGCCCCCTCCCTGGAAGGGTTCAAGGCCAGGTTGGACGGGGCTGGGAGCAACCTGGTCTGGTGGAAGGTGTCCCCGCCCATGGCAGGGGGGTTGGAATAAGATGATCTTTAAGGTCACTTCCAACCCAAACCATTCTATGATTCTATGAAAAAAATGAGAAAAAGGAAAAGGAGAAAGCTGTTTCTTCGTTCTGTGAGAGCTAGGTATTTGGAAAATTAAAATATATTGTGCCATAGAGACATCATATGGCATTCGTCTTAAGGGGATGATTCTTTTATCGACTTTCTGGATATTCTGTTTCAAGGGAAGTAGACCCACATTATCATTCTTATCACAAATCTTTCCACAGAAATTAGAATAACATAAGTGAAAGACAGTGCTGTTACCATACTTGCAAAATTGTTACTGAAGAGCTTTCCAAGGCCTCTAGTTTTGTTTTCTCAATTAGTATTCCCACTTTTTTGGCTAATTCCCTAAGAAAAAAGGGTTTGTATAACTGTGTAGGATTCTTCCTGCCTCACCTTCCCTTCCCCAAGCCCTTTAATAAGTTTGCAACTGGTTGGCCCATTTCAACCTATTTTGGACAAGGGAGGGAAATATCTGTTCCTGTGTCCAAAACCTCAGAATTCAGAAGCAGTTTCCAGCTCCCAGGTCCATACATGCCCTGCAACGTCATCCAGTCCCATTTTATGCTAGCAAGGACAGAAAGAAATCAATGGTTCAGACATCATCTTTTTTTTTTCTGCCATATCAGTGACCACAGATTTTATTTTTATTACTGTTTTTCATTTAGTAATGGAAAAGTTCATTAATTTCCACTGATCTACCTTTTTAATCAAGTCTTTTACATTCCAGACTAGCAAGAAAGACCATTTAAAAAACGCTAATACACTTCATCGCATTGCTCCTAGCGTTATTATTCCATGACATCACTTGGAGCCAGTAGGTAACTCTCATGCTATGTAGTTTTTTCTAGAATCCAGTCTGAATACTCAGCAACTTTTGTGTAGACACCCGGCTGCCTGGGGCGAGCGCAGCCTTCGCCCCAGCTGGTGATGCCCACCAGATACCACACCTCCTCGTGCCTGCATGACAGCGGCCCTCCTGAATCTCCCTGTGTCACAGGAGAAAGACAGAGCAAGCAAGGAAGAGCTCTTGTCAGTATTTCTCTCTCAAAGAAAGCCTTGATGAAAATTAGCATCATTCAGCGTTAACATCAGCATAACTGCTTAGATTTCAATTGCTTTTTTCTTTGGTTAATTAACAGAGCATTGAAGCTGGTTTTCTGTTTTTCTAGTAAACTGACTTCTAAATACTTTCCAGTCATTGCAAATACTTTCCACTTCCTATTAAGGTTCAAAACTACTGTATTTTGGTCTGTTTTGTTTTAATTTATCTACAGACACATTATTTAAAACCCAAGGAAGATGACATGTGCAAGTGAAAAAAATAGTAAATTTGCCAATGTTTTCTCTTATGACCTCAGTTTTCGTATGCAAACCTCATTTCTCTTCACAATTTATCTTGTTTGAGTGACACTGTCCTCCCTTGGACAAAACACATCTCTCTCTTCTTTTCCTATTCCTGACTGATCTTCCTGAACATAAGGTTCTTTAGTGTAGCTGTCATGAGTTGTTGAGACAATAACAAGTGCGTTAGTTTTATAAAACAGCATCTCCATGTTCTGGTACACTGTATCAGATACAGAAAGCTTAATTGGCATAGAGGAAAAAATTACTTCCCATCTCCAAGCATTTTTATTCCTAATTACTCAATACCAATTATAGTAAAATTTTAACATAAAAATGTTAACTGTTAAATGTTTCAAGTGAAAATATTGTATTTGCTAGAGAATTTAATCTCACTAAACAGACTATTTTCTTTTTGCATAAATTAACTCAGAATATTTAGATTAATGTGCGTGCATGAGTTTACACTCGAGCAGAGAATTTGGCTCACTGAACTCATGCTGTTGTGACATTTTCAATTCTAATAATAAACACACCAGTCTGCTCAGGTTGTCTTTACTCTTCCATTTGCCATGCATTTTAATACATTGCTAGCACACTCCTTTCTGGTTTGTGCACAGTGGGTGATTTAATATAAGCTTTCACGTACTGTATTTCATGCCAAGAAATAAAAACAACACATAGTAAATCTGCTTTTATTGGAGAAATGCTTTGAGACACTACACTTGCTCTCTGTGGATTTCTGATACTCTGAAGGAATACTGGCTTGTACCCTAAATGGATGATATATATAGATATATATATAGATATATCTATATATATATATACACACAGACATACACTCAGAGTTTCTTATCCATGGAATCTATCCCTAAGGATTTCAATGTCACATAAGAAATGTGTTGTATATACCTCAGTTTTCAGTGCTTTTGACATGCAAAAGTGAGAAATTAATCACCAACTCTGTTGATAACTATTTTTCTAATGGCAATTAAAAAATAATTACAGCATTCAATTATATATTTAAACAAATGGTTGGAACATACGACTATATACTACTTCTTCTCATTACCTTACAAGCATCCCTTCCACCTTCATCATAGCCAGCACAGATCACTTTGTCACCTATTCTGCGTTTCCGATACCTTGCCTGGCATTCCTCTTTTGACATAAGGGGAACAGTAGCCTTCTGAAGGATATCTTCTACACGACCTATGTAATAGGTGGTATGAACAGAGAAATGTTTGGTTCTAGAAAAATAAAAGTTAAAATTAAACACTAGAAATTCCTATACAGTGATATTACGAAGTTGGAGACCACTGCTTTTAGAGTGTTATTAGATGTTCATGACACTGATTTTCCTTTTTCTGTGTTAGTAAACAATGTGAATTGCCTGCTAATTTGAATGTTTTTATAATGTCATTTTATGTCTCATGACTGGGTAAGCTTCAAAACTCCCTTGTGGTCTGCAATGGATCCTCATATGAGCACAGGACATTGGCCCTTGGAACCTGTCCTCTCATTAAGAGCATTGCTTTGTGTTATGAACAATTATTTCTTAATAATGTAATACAATGGTTTCAGATCTTCCAGTTGCCAAATCTGTGCTGCTCTATGCCCTAGTAGTCTACAGGATGGAGAAATTTGCACATAGAATAAATAAGAGTATTTGAGAGCAGCCTTTTCTTAGAACTTAACAGAAGAAATTAGCCTATAAAGTGTCTGCGTAAATCTGTTAAGATTTCACATTGAACTCTAACCTTCAAATAGAAAGGTGTATAAAGGAAAGGACACTGTTTAAATAGGTGTGTGTATATATATATATAAACACACAAATATTATACACTAAAATATATAAATAAATACATGTAAAAACAGACTTTGATAATTAACAGCCATATGGCCTACCTCTATATAAAATCAGAGAATTTCAGATCCCATCTACTATCAAAACACAAAAGTAATTGACATTGTTTATAATCAACCTTCAGAATCATAAAAGCAACATACTTCAATCTTTGATTTTTAAAGTCATAGGAATACAATCACATAAAAAAAAAAAAAAGGCATGGGTTATATGCAGATTGTAATTCAAAACCTCACAGTTCAGTGATAAGTCTGGGTTTTTTCTGCTGGGAGCATGAAAAGGAATATGCATTCCAGATATATACTGGGTTTTGCCAGTAGATTAAGCTAGAAACTACGGAAAAGTATTTGAGGGCTGTACAGGATATACTTAAGGTTGCTGTTATATATTTCAAATTATTGGATCAAACAATTTATAAAATTGAATATTTATGTCAAAGCATGAAGTTATTTAATGATAATTTCATACATCTTTCATATATGTATTATGATGTCTTAATAGAAGTAGATTCTAATTAACAATTATATTACAGTGCTGGCCAGATAGCAATAATGGTAGCCAAGAACACAGTAGATTTTTCTTTTAGAAAAGAAGGGGATTTTCATTAAAGGAAAAAAAAAAAAAAATGGAGGAGGGAATGTTTTTTTTAACTACATGAATTTTGCAAATACAAGAACTTACTGTTTAAATATTTATCTGTACCTTTTTCTTTCCTGTAACCCCATCCAATTACCCAACAGTCAGTATAAAATATATTAGCGTCTTCTTTCGATGGCAGGCAAATAGGTAGTTGAAGATCTAAAATACAATCAAAAATATTAGTTTGACCAGCAGAGACAACTTCAGCATTAAGGTTTTGTGGGCACCTACACAACCCCTGATGATAGCCTCCATGTTATGCTTTGTCTCTATGTACACTACATATAGTTCCAGTCACATAAATAAAAGCCACCCATTTTCTTTTCAAAGCCAACATAATGAGATTCTCTTCAAATCCCAATAAATGCATATTAATGGAAGCCAGCCCAGGTGTCATGCACTGCCATACCAATGCCAGCCCTGTGCCATCCTGCACATTTTCAGAATTCCTCTGAAATACACTACATACCAGTAAAATTCATAGGCTTATCAAGTTTCATTAAAGCAATGTCATATCCAGTCTGTGCGTATTTATACTGAGGGTGAACAATAATCTCTTCCACTTTGAAGAAGGGTGTATCCTCATTTATTTCTGATTGTTTTAAAATACCAGCATAAACACGCCAAATGTTGGGATTCTCAAGACTGAGGGAAAAAGACAAACAGTCAGTCTGTGGCAAAAGATTTGCACTGATTTAGAGTTTGTGTGCAGATGCCAACATCTGCCATTACTATTGAGTGTACAGTGTAGCACTGAGGTCTGTCTTTCCATCTTTTTTTCACACTTTCAAAACAAAAAAAAGGTTCATTTTGTCCATCTTCTCCACTTCTTCTTTCTGTTACTCTCCCTTTTCATATTTTCACCCCCACACCTGTTTTCTTTCTCCTTTATGTTCAGATTCTCATTATTGTGATCCTTCTTCATCCTCCTTCCCCTTTTGCCTTTATTTACTCTTTTTCTTTCTCTCTCTCTCTTTTTTATTTTTTTTTTTTTTTTTTTTTTTTTTTTTTAATTTTAATGAAAATAAGGTTGGGAATATAAATTCAAGTAGTCTATCCTGAAACTTATTTGTTAGGAAAATGACACTAGTCATATAAATATTGATTAGAAAGTATATCATAGACCTATGGGAAAAGTTCCAGTTAATCTTTACAATTTCAACTTTACTTTGAGTAAGTTTAAGAGATATTTCATTGTGATATTCTACCATTAAGGCAACCTAGAAGTTTTGGTACATGCAATGAAGAAGATGAAACACTTGTCTTTAAAAAAACTTTCAAAAAAATTTAAAGATTTTATATATGAATTCATAAATATCAGTTAGGCTTAATAATTTTCAATTAACTAAGTCTATATTTTATTTTTATTCTGCAAGGATATTTTCTCCCTTTGCCTTTTATAATACTGGTAACTTCTACACTGGATAGCAGGTAGAGAAAGATACTTTTTATGTAGGGTTTTTAGGGAGTTAAACCACTTTATTAAAGTTTGCCACTGAAGGCAAAATATTGACAATACTATTCCTTGCAAAAAGAATAATGAGTAACGTACTACACTGTGTGAGTAAAAATGGCTAATTTTGGACTATGTTGCTGGGTCAAAATCCTCTTCTTTGAAGCATTTTATCTCTTTCCTGTCCTTTTTCTCCCATCAGACTGCATTAGAGCCTCACACTTTTCACTCTGTAAGTGACAGGATAATCTGCTTTAAAGGTGATGACAATCTAACAAAGGAAATGAATCACCCATATAACAACTAAATCAGCTCTTCACAATACAAGTAATTTCATGACCCAAATCTGATGGTAATTTTATTAACAATACAGACTATATGTGTCAGTGCAAATTAACAATGTGATAGGTATTGCCTGCTTTACATTTTTTTCTTACAGCTGAAAACTCTATTAAAAAAAAACAACCAAACAAACAAACAAAAAACCCCAACAACAACAAAAGACTATTAAAGGAAAACCAGGGCAGTTAGGACAACTAGGATCTGGATGTTACACATAATGCAGAGATAGGTAACAGCTCAGGTACTAGAAGCAGCCTAATTGAACACCCACAGAGATTTACTTTGTGTCCTGGTCAAATAAGTCAATTTGCTGAGCACCCTTTGCTGAAGCTATCAGATTAGTACCGTTTCTTAAGTGACAGAGAGAAATCTCTGAGATAAGCAACTTGAAGTTCATGAAATGGAATATAGCAGCAGATTTTCCTTGATAGATGATACAGTAAGAAAACTCTTATACTGCATGAGAATGTCTAAGTTTCTGTAGGTATCTGGTATCTGCTTTAGAATTTCATCTCCTAGATGCATTAAAATAATTTAGCATCAGTAGTACTTTCCTATATTACAAAGGGACGGAGTATGGAGTTCCAGTTACATTAAGGATGTGAATAGTCTACCTTAGAAGTTCACCTTTTGGTTACATTAGAACAATTTATTTTATTCCAGCCCTCACTTTTATTCTTCTGAAAGGTAGATCTCAACTTATCTCACACACTGGATGAATTTTTTTTTTTGTTTTATTTGTACATTTATATTTAGGCCTCACCTCATGACACAGTGAGCAGCTGTAAGAATCCACTGGTTGCTGATGATAGAGCCCCCGCAGAGGTGTCTCTGACGAGACAACTTCACGTGCAAGCTGACTTGCCACGGCCATTCACCAGGGGAAGAGTCTGTCCCTCCAACGATCCTAATAGTTCTTGCAGAATGCTGCATACATACTATAGAAATAGTTTAAAACTGGCACTCACCAATAAAAAATGAAGATAACACTGCTGCTGATCCCTAAATAGGGACCAATCTACTGTAAGGAAGGTGATACAAAATACATTCTAATCCCTTTATGATTTATGATCACAAAGCCTATGAAAACCAAGTTCACAGTGCTGCTGTTGGCATTTACAATGTGTAGACCTGACCAACCTCACTTTTTCAGACTTCATAAGGCATCCCACTGGGACAATGCAGCCAATTCAAAGAAACCAAATTAAAAAAAAAAAAGAGGTTTTGTCTTCCTGTACTGAAATCCATTAAGCATTGTCTCTTTTACATGAAAGAAGTTTTACTTACCAGTACTGGCTTTTTTTTTTGCATAATCTTAGTGAGTATCCAGAGATCCTTCCTGGCCCATGTACTATTTCTACTGGAGATCCATTCGAGGACATTCTTAGGTGACACTCACACTTTCTGTCAATGAATTAATGCAAAGATTCAGTTTTTATGGGGTTTTTTTAAGCAGAACACATATATTATCCCCTCACCGAGTCTGTGGAATGATTATGTCAGCAATCTTTGAACATTTTAAAAAATATATCTCACCTTTCCTCATTGCATGAATCTTGGAGGGGAAAGTAGGTAAAAAATTGGCAGCGGATCACATCTGTGCAAACCTGCTGACAGGCTCTGTGTCCTTTAGTGTAAGTGACATTGAGCTCATCTCCCAAAAAATTCATGTGCATATAAGTGCGAGAATTGCAGGCTGTAAGAATGAGTGCATTCAAAGCATCAGAAAGCCTATTAATTTGATTAATTCAAAGTTAGTATTTTTATTGTAATTTATTGCTTACCAGGAAAAGATCTTCTGCAATTTAGGAGACCAAAGCCTGATACAGCATTTTCTCGTGATGTAAGTGCCTCTGGTATCCCACTTGTTGATGTCTTCAGAAGGCAAAGATTTCTAAAATAAAACATTTTTTTGCTCTAACTAAATCTGTTCTCACATTCTAAAAATCAGTGTTTAGAAACTCATAAGGGAAGGTTCATTCTTAAATGTGTTTTTTCTCCCAAGTCTCTATCTGTATTTCATATGAAAATTCATTCACTAAATTCACTAGTTCACACTAAATTGAGGGAGCTTTTGTAGTTTTGTGAAATGGCATATGACTGTACTACTAAAGGTTGTATTTATACATACATAGAAGAGGTGACTTTAGATGATATATGCCATCTCAGCTTTGCTTGTGTCTGACATTCCTTTGACACTTTATTCTTCCGTTTTGTGTGGAATGTAGATTTTTAACTATTCTTACTACTATGTATGAAAAAAGGATGCTCAACAGAAACATTTTTAAACCTGACAATTTTAACAAAAATATTTTCAAGTAAATAACTTAATACTGCTAGGAAGCCAGATGACTCTTTTGATAATTTCATAAAATTAAGCTTGAAATCATTACAGCAATCTGGAGGATCACTGTCTCTTTGATGTATATAACTTCAGATTAACACCAAATACTCAATTGCAATACAAAACCCCTGATCACACTGGAGAACAGATGAAACACCCGCAGGAAATTATAAACTTATGAATACAAAACATAAAAGTCTGTGCTTTACAGAAAATAACTTTTTTAACAAAAATTTCCATGAGTACAAGAAACAGTAGTTAAAAAAAGACTGTGTGTTTTTTTAAAAAAAAAAAAAAAAGATCTACTCAGAGAATTAAAGTTAGTTGTCATATTCACCTTTGGGATTCTATTTGCCATTCCCTGGTAAAGAATGTAAAGAATAAGCACTTTGGAAAATATGTACAAATAGTTTGGCAGACAGAGATATCAGGAGTGAAAAAACTTGTAATGTTTATTCCTGAAAATTCTTGATCTTCAAAAATGTCCATTTGACAATCTGTATAAAACAAGAACAAAATATCAAAATTCCAAAGATTTTATTGACATCAGCATATTAAGGTTTAAAGATTATTAATTTCTATCCCTATTCACATTTTCCTTCACTTGTGACTAATAAGGTGGAAAGATAACACCACATTTTAACCAAAAACTATTTCTTACATTTCTCAACCCAGGACACACTATTATACACTCAAGAACATTTCTGAGTGTGTAAACTCATGGAGAGGACTATTGAACAGGGATAAAGTTCTTATAGAAAGGAGGATAAATTAAATGTTAGAATTTAGATTTGCTAATCTAATAGGGAATACTTTAACTAGGAACAGTGGAGATCAGTGTACAAATCCACAGTTAGGAATAAATCATGGTAGTCTAGGCAAAGCCTAAAATAAAGAAAAGGGGTATATCTAAGAGGATCATGGGAAGACCAGAAGAAAAATAGTGGGGTGATCCTCTTAACACTTCATTAAATGTTATTTGAAAAATAGGCAGAATAAGCAGGAGTAATGTACTGTCTGCCCTTTAACATGACCAAAATAACATAACAGAGGCTTGGCAGGATAACTCACACAACGAGAATATTGATACAGAAGTTACAAGTACTAGCATCTTTAGAAAGAGAAGAATGAGTTGCCTTCTGCAAAGATATACTTGAAGTCCTAGTTAAAATCCCAGTGCAACAACAAAAAGAGGAAAAAAGGAACCACCAGCATGGAGAATGTTTCTTGAAACTATCAAGCTGTAAAGACAGTAAAAACAATGAAATGAACCAAAACACAGGACCTGGTGGCAGCAGAGAACTTCAGCTGTTGAGAAAGTAGAGCAGCCAAGTTGGCACTACCCAATGAGTTATAGAAATACTGGGAACATCTTACTACAGAAACATTTATACATGTCAGAGATAGACTGCAGCTCATCATCCATAACCCTTAAAACTAAACTGAATCAGAGATTTTAAATAGTTACCTGTTTCAGAAAGCTGGCATGGCCTTAAAGAGAATCCAGACACAACCTCATCAAGCACCTTTATGCTGGTTGGAGTTCCTACACTGGTATATTTCAAGAAGCATTTTCTACTGAGTGACAAAGAATAAAGAAAGTGGTAAGAAAACAGGCCATGTTCCTTGGTCTACACCATCCTTCTGGCCCCATAATTCCTACCATGATGCATGTTCTGGCCATAGGCCAGACCAATCCCCAGTCTCCATAACAATCATCAAATGAGGAACAGAGCCAGCTGAACGATGTTTAACTTGTAAATTTGAGCAGATTAACATCTTAAAAATAGGCCTGATAAAAAAGAAATAATTTCTCTGGCTGCTCTGCTGATGTTATTTTCAGAGCAGTAAGCAGAGCAAGATTTAACAGAGCAATAATGCTGCACACCTACCAAAATAATTTGCATTTCAATATCTCTAGAGAGTTTTTATTATTTTCAGTGCTATGGTAATCAAGTTTGCCCTTCTTGCTATTGGACAAATTAAAGATATTTTACTACAGACAATTTCTTATCTGTAAATCTGTATAAACATGGCAAGGATAACAAGTCAAGAAAAAATCATATCCTTGAATAAATTCTCACACCTTAGAGTGCTCTGAGACTTGCTCTACTAAAGCACAGCACTGTCCAAGGAAAGGGATCAAACCTGTGTTTACCAAAAACTTGCATTGTGAAATGTTTCTGAGGCATATGTAAAAAACTGACAATGGTTGTCATTGGTACATCTTTTTTGACACTGTTGATAGCTGTCAGCCATAGTAACATCATAAATTTTCCCTTCCATATCCAGTCCTCTGTGGACATCTGGGTTGCAAGCTGTAAAAAAAGAGAGACCGAGTTCTGAAAACATGCTTCTGTTCTTTTCCCCAACCAACACCCCAAACTGCCCAAACAATAGCAGTTCATATACCCCAGTCCCCATAATCCAGGTTCCACATCCCATGCTCACTTCAGTTACATCATACTTCACGTATACTTCTAGTAACAAAATCAGAAATGTAGGTATACTACTGCATGGCAGAGGAAAAAGACGACAGACTTTGACAGTGCCTCTGCCTACACAAGAGAGGAGCTCTAGCTACTATGACTGAGACCATGATGACATTAATCAAAGCAAGAACTCAGGATTAATACTAAAACATACTTTCCCGATTCCAAATTCATAGAGCAGTTTAAAAGACAAATTCTGTCCTCATAAGGAACAGACATCTCCCATTTGAGTCAGAAGATTTAATTTACGTTCCACAGAGGGAGGACTGGGGCTGTGGAGTTTGAAACAGCTTTTCCCCCAGGCAGGATGCAGGTTTTGCCTCATGGTCAGTGAGGTCTCTTCACAGAACACAAGTCAGACAACCACTGGTGAGGTTTTTAAAACATATATGGATAGGTTTTCACGTTAGTGACATTAGTCTGATTCTAGAGTAACTCCAGTGATATCAGTTAGTACATATAGAATAAAGGATAACATCCCACTGAAATCTATTTTGCTGGGACAAAGCTACTCAGAAATGTAAGTGCTACAGGATGTTGGGAGGAAAGGACCTTTAGAAGTCCTGGCTGCCCTGAAAGGGAAGTGGCAAGCAGAAGCAAGCACAACTGGTTTGTCATTAGCTGCAGTAGAGAACTTGCATAAAGACTCATTTAGCCTGGCATACTGAGGTGTTATACCAATGAAACTAAAGAATCAGCCTGACATTCATAAGACACTATTTGGCCTCAAAGTCAGGAAGTGAATATATTCTTGCTTATTCTGTTTTTCTGCAGTACCATGCTACGCTTAAAGCTGATCTCCTCTTAATGACATCATTATGATGGTACAATTTTAAAACATGTAAAACAACACATTTGATAGGCTTTAAATATGCCCACTGGTATCTCGCAGGTATGGCATGCTGGCACTAAGACTGTGCACAGCACACATACACTAAAGGATGGAGCTGATAGTAAATTATTACACAGAATCATGAAGGTAGCAACATTACTTTGTGACCATGTACTTCGCTTTTCTGGGCATCTGTTCTACAAAGTTACAAAGTAGGGTCATACACACCCTACCAGCAGCTTGCTGGAATGGAATTGTAGTAGTGAATTAATCTTTAGAACTGGAGCTCCCAGTTAAAGCAGGAGCTCTCATCTGCCTCTAGCAAATTAGATAGTGGCTGCAGGAGCATGATTTCCCTGTTACCTCACCTGGGGGACCCTCTGTGGTGGATAGTTGGGGCTGAAGGGTGAAACCAGTAGAAGATTTTGTAATCTGTGTTTGAAGGAAACCTGACAAAGAACATACAAATCACTGCTTGACTGCTTCCCTGATTCTGTTCCTGGTTTTGAAATGCTAATTTTCTAATATCTGCTACATGATACAGAACATAAAATGCATATATGTGAATAATCTTACCACTAATTTGGATGTTACACTGTTTTAAAGAATGTCCAGAGATAGCTCCTTCCATATGCACTTTCGGCAGCATTTCTGTATCACTGTCTTTTAAGTAGCACGAAAACCTGTGTTTTAAAATGCAGCAATTCACAGCTTTTGCAGTACAGCACAGACTTTCATAATTATTTCTCAGGCATAATGCCGGCTGTCCAATATCCCTCAACATTAAAATTTAGTTAAGAAGTGCAATTTGGAGAAAGATAGGGTAGAGCTGCATCTGCTTTGTTGGCACTGGTGACAGATGAGATTACTCAGTGTATGTGGGAGCTCCAAGAGGTCTCATTAAAGTGAGAAGCAGAGACCAGGATTTCAAGGACAGAAATGTACTGGGCATAGAGAGGGAGGACAACCTCGTCCTCTCTGGCTATTGAAGTTCTTAACTGTGAGAAAAATCTGCTTAAGAGAAAGGCAGGGGGACAGTAGAAGGGACCACTGAAGATGTGAAATTGCTGACATTGTCCCTCAACAATAAATATGTGGCACAGAGAAGACAGTACACAATCAGTTCTGTTTCCTCAAAAGGATTGGTATGCAAGTCCAAAAGATTGGACATTGACAAAGTCCGTCTTTTGAATTTAAGCAAATACTCTTTTAGATCACCAGTTTTAAAGATACATGACATTGCTTTCCATGGCAACCTTGTAGCTTTCCCCCTGTGCCTGTGTTCTGTTAAAAGGTTACCAAGTTACTAAAATTATCACAGGAGACCAGGAAAAGACACATGAACATGAACATTTTACCTTTTTGCAGGATCTTTAGTCCATGCCTCTGGCAAATAGGTGAAGAGCAGACAGGTAGGATGGTAAGTACACACTACTTGGCAGTAATTGGCACTCGGTGTAAAAACCGTAGCGAGGTCTCCTCCTTGGAAGTATGTATTTTCATAGATCTGAGTCACACACTCTGACACAGAATAACAAAATGTGAAAGTTATTAGAGATGGGAGCATGCACAGTTCACCAGGAGAAGGTGAAGCCACCGCTCCTCTTTACCATTGACTACGCTTTCAAGACAGCCCTTCGGCAGGAGAAGTGGGTGAGGGGGACGAGTAGCACAGTTCCTCTGAGAGTCTCATCTTTGCTCTCCAGCAGAAATAAAACTCTCTGGGGTGTCCCCCCATCATTCCCTGCCTCGTACCCAGTGCTGGAGCCGGGCAGCTTGAGCCGAGGCAGAAGCCTGAGCAGCAGGATGGGCCACAAGGTAGAATCTGCACGGCAGAGAGGGAAGGACCTTCTCATGTCAGATCTCAGGAGCAGATGCCTCTTCTGAGACCAGGACGGAGCTCCATTAAGAGGGAAACCAGAAGAAGGAAGTGCAGAGACCAAAAAGTTATAAAGGTGTATATGAAGACTGTCCTATTTTCTTTAGGGATGCTCTGAGGCCAGAGACACAGGTGGTGCCACCGTGCATAGCATCAATGGCTCCCAGCATTTTATAAACCTTCTGCTCCCTCATACTCCACCCTGAACTCCCTCTGACTTGCTTCACAATGAAGAAAATACAGCTACAGAGGTAGTGTCTCAGGAACTGTCCCAAAGAAAAATGAGCTCAACTATCAACCTGTGTCTGCAGGAATCATCATCAATCCCACATTGGACTCTGTAATGAAACACATTCCTGCTGCAGAGCTGTGCAATGAAGATACCTAAGCAGCAACCTGTTCCCATCTTTCAAAATGAAGGCATTTGTAAGATCTCAGTGTTAAAGCTTACAAGAGGACTGGCTTCACAGAGGAGCCCACTCTCTTCTTGTCTTTTTCCCTCCAAAGGGGTAGCAAATATGCTGATTTTTATTCCCGTATCTAAAAAACAGTGATTTTTCTTAGCTAAAAGATAAAGAAAAAATACTGTATTTTTACAGAATGGGAGGGACCCCAACTGAAAACATTTTACCTAGCAGCTTAGTCTATTACTGTAGAGCAATCATACTGTATCAAAAGCTATTTAAAATCAAAACAAATTGAACTAATCATGTTGGATTTTACAGTTTTAAAATATTACAAGCCAATTTTATTTGTTAATGTGATTATATACTATACTTAGGTAATTCTATGTTTCTTGCCCATGGGTGAAATACATAATTTACTCGAAAAAAAAGGAAACAGTAAAGAATTATTAGATATATGTGCAAGATATGTCAATATCTCCTAAAGATTAAATTCTTGTTAATACTTGTATATATACTTTCAAGATCTTTTTCTAAAAATTTATATTTATTATTCTCAGTAGTTTGCCCAGCTTTGTCATGAACAGAAAAGCATTTTCTATTTCTTAGAACACACTAAGCAAATTCTAAAGACAAAAGAAAATAATATTGCAATTATTTGTTGTATCAGACATTTTGGATCTTACTTACCTTCTTCTAGTGTAAATTAACACAGACAAAAAAATTATTTATGCTGCAAAACTATGCCAGTTCTGAATATTTTATTAAATTATTAATTTAATAAAAATATGTTTCCAGGCCTTGGAAATGTTACGACATATTAGTTTTGTTGATATTTCAATTAATGTAAAAGATATCCTTAAATAATACTACATTTATCAAACTGATTTTGCTAAAAATCTCAGTTACCTAATTGTCCTCTGAGAAAAGAGTTAATACATTACCGAATATAAACCTGTCTGAGGACTTAGTTATAATTTATCAGCACAGGCAGCTTCAGGGAAATGCAGTGTAATTTGACTTTGGCTAGCTGAACAAGGTGAATCATTAACACAGACTAACACTGAAAAACATACACAATCACTAATTTTCCAACGTATCAAGAGAATTCTAGAAAATAATTTACAGTAAAACAATTGGTTCTGGAGTTACTCACACTTATTGTAATCATCTTTCAAGCATGATGATACGTAGGTGTTACACAGCCACTTTTTGAATTAGTAACTTCACTCAAAGGCAATGCGCGAATGAGACTGAAGGTTGGCAGGGTTTACTTATTAAAAAAAATAAATAAAAAAAAAGGATGTTGGCTCTGCAGCTCAGCTGCCGTCCCCCAGCGAGGCTGCTGGGCAGAGCTCGGGGAAGGGGCTGAGGCTCCTCTGGGGCCGGGGAGAGGCAGCCAGCCTGCCCTGGCACTGCCCGAGCGAGCCTCACGGCAAACTTGAGAGCTCTAACTCGTGCCGGGGGGAACTAGGTTAGAGCAAAGCCAGCCGAGAAGCACGGGGAGCCACTGCACCTCCTGCACCCCGCACCGACCCCAAAGGGCTCCCTCCCTTCCCGAGCCGCTGCTAAGGCCGCTAACCTCGCTGGTGGGTGTGAGGCACTGACCACAGCCCCGATTTCACAGTTACGAGCTGGATGTTGCCTCAGTCCAATAGAGAAAACTGCCCGTAGCATGGTCCTGTGTGCGCTGGGCAAGGTGACAGCGTGGCGGGGGGGGGGGGGGGGGGGGGCAGGACAATGTCAGTGGAGCCCCGTTAGGAAGTTCCATCTCAGGCAACAGGGTTACGTGAGTTACCCAAACTTAACGAAACGTAACCCAGCAGAATCAAGTCAGGTCTCTGAGGACCAGACCGAAGCTACTAATCGTCTCCCCTTCTAGAAGAGTTGCATTACTCAGCGTGCCTCTCTTAGGAATTACATATTCACTTACCACTGTAAACGGAAGCAAGTAAGAAAATGAAATTAAAAGTCTGATAAATCCAAATCATCCTAAAAAACACAAAATCATTCTTTAGGATATGTTTTATAAAGGATGTATAATTAGTTTTATAAAGTACCACAAGGCATATCACTGATTTACACTTGTACTGTTACACCATTAATTCAAAATGACATTTAGAATTAGAAATTACAGCTGTTATACGCAGTTATGGCATATATGAAGTAGCATAAAAGCGACAAAAGAAAGTTTTTCCTTTAATTATGATTGCAAGAAACAATAAAGCTTACAAGCACTTAGAGAATTTCTGTTTCATTTTACAGCAGAATATTTATTATTGATAAGACTGGGAGCAATATTCCATCAAAGCATTATTATTAATACTGACTCTGTCCTGGTAGTTAAGTGGATACTATTATCAACCTAGCAAACAAATGACTCGCATTTACTGCTTCTGGTATATGTTACATGAATTTTAAACCATTTCTCTTTTTTTTTTTTTTTTCCACGTGCTACAACTTAAGCTGTGAAAGAATCAAATAAATTAACCACATGACACAATCCATAAATAAATCAACATACACATTCTTGTTGCTATGAACAACTTTCACTAAATATCAGTTGCAATGATTACATACCTGAACACACAGTAGGTCTGGATGAATGGATAAGGCTTATGCTCTACTAAAAAAAAAAAAAAAAAAGGGAAAAAAATAAGTCAACAGTTTGTGTTAAATATTACTGTGCCTGCAGTGCAGTGCTAACTTATCTTTTATATTTACTTTGATCGGGTACTCTTTCTGTCAATATTGTTACTGACCTTGGGCCACAATTTCAGAGCATACATCATCTAGACCACACTGAAATCGATGTCCAGGTTTTACACCATCTGAGCATCTGCCTCTTGATGACATTTTAAAATAAAAGGTGAATCCCTGGTTCAGAACAGCCAGAGTATCTGTTACGAGCACCAGAACCTACATAAATAGGGAATGAAATTCACCTCCAGAGTAAATCCTGAGCTGGGGTAGGTGGGGAAATCCACATGAAATCAGTAAGACTAGTGACTCAGACCCAAGTAAACAGCACCATTATGAAACTCCTGTAACTGAAGATAGAATTGTCTCCTCTGCTTTCTTACTGTTACACCATTTTCTTGAGGCATTCCCTTGGCAAATAGAGACAGCTATACTCTTCAACTATGTATTCTGTGCTCTGTTTTCTTTAACACCAGTTCAAATTTTTATTTCTCCTTTTTAATACTCCGCAGAAATTATTCTGTCTATGTCTTCCAAGTAGTTTTACTGTGGCCCCTTCCACACTTCTATTTTGTTGTCAGATGCAACTAAGAGCATCTTCAGTTTGCCAGAAACCAGAAAAAAAAACAATCCTCTGCCAATATATGAAATGTAAACACAACAACAAGTGATCTGAATCACTTGGCTTGATTTCTACAATTCTTTTTAACATGTGTAACCAAAGCAAAATACATTTCAAACAAGCAAACAAACAAAAAATCTTAAAAAATAAAAGGTGTTTCATTTCACAGTGAAACTGCCAAAGGGACAACTCTTGTCTCCTCTCCACTCTTTGTCCCCTTTTCTTTCAGACTGAATATGCTGGAAAGACAAATACATATGCTCTACTCAAAAAATACCTAAATCAAAACACTTCACCCACCTGTGACCCTTTTGAGCATCCTGATGATTGAAATGACTTCTCTGTGACTTATGGGTCAGCAAGATCTCCCAACTCCTCCTTAGAGGGGAATAACTGTCTCAGAGAAAGTCTTCATATTCTCCTGTGTATCGATTTGCTTTGCCCCAACAAGCTTGTAGGAGGGGACTCAAATGTTTTCAGTACAGCAGCTTTCATTTTTATGTGCTTTCTTCTGTTTTAAGTGTGTAACAGTGACAAGGGAGAGTGCTGGAAGGCTTTACTGCAAAACACATTGATAGTTTATTCCTGTAACACAAAGTGTTTTGAGACTAAGATGTCTGTACAGCTCTGACCTTCAACTCAGAAGAAATTTTCCATCAGCCACGGGGTGTAGAGGTGTCATGGGAGTACGGCTCTGGGAAAGCATAGCACACCATCTCCAGCCAACATCACTGAAGCCTTTCTGTGTAACCACAGGTATGTCACTTGGTCTCTCTTTTCTCACCTATAAAATTATTATAATCTTTTACACCTCTGGAAAAATTATCACCTTTACTTCAAATTACAGAATTTTCATAATCCTGAAAGCAATAACAAAACCTATCATGTATCTGAATATTTATAAATAAAGCAAACTGAACTTAGAAGATTTTGTGTTGCTCAGCCTGCATTAGTAATCAATTAAAATAATTATTTCTCACCTGCCCCTGCTTTTTTGGGTGTGTGCATTTCACACAGTGGCACAAAAGGATTAGAACTTTTCTCCAAGAACTTTTAATTTCTTCACTTTTCACTTCTCATCTGGGCTTTCCAGCTCAGATATTGGGCAATGTTATTCTAATTCATTACTGTCTTATTAAAAAAATGAAACAAAACAAAAAACCCAAACCAAACCAAAACAAAAACATAAAAAATCCAACCCTACACTTTTGGAAAAATAAGGGATACAGTTCAAATCCACAGAAAAAACAGGGTAGATTTATCACAAAATTCACCAAGGTCATACAACATGTAGTCATACCCATTTATCAGAAACTTCTGTAAGATTTCATTTCTACAGTACACTACGTCTATTTTAGAAACTTGTCTCAGGACAAGGAATATTTTGGTAATGGCTGTCTGTTTCATAAGCAAACTAGTAAAAAAAAAAAAAAAAAACAAAAAAAACCCAACCAAGACAAACAAAAAACTTTCTTGAAGCAGCAGTTCTCAAATGTAGATATCACACTCCTTCCAAAACCATTATTTTAACTACATCTATATGGGCATCAATTGGATTTGCTGGTTAAGCTAAGAAATAAGGCAGCAATGCTATTCAAAGAGAATCATAATGAGCATGCTCACTTCGGAAAATGCATTTTCTTTCAGTGGACCTGCTACTCACGTGACAAATGCTCCCCTGTTTACACTGCTGCACTATTGCTCAAATCAGCAGAGTTGTACTTCTGTACAGAGAAAATAATGTGTTACAAACTATGTTCCTGAATGGATTCTTGTTTATTATATAATAGGACACATTTATTATAGGACAAATTATAAAAATACGCTGAGACAAATTCTCATCTGGGACCAGTTTACTGAGCTTCACTGAAATCCAAAGAGATTACATGATATAAACTAGAAGAGCTAGAAATTGAAAGTGCATAGAATACAAAACCATCTAACATTCCTTTATTTAGGTATTTTTTCCCCTTTTTAGTAGCTAGAATAGTGCTGTGTTTTGGATTCGGTATAGGATTTGGTATGAGAAGAATGCTGATAATGCACAGCTGTTTTCAGTTGTTGCTGAGAGATCGAGGAGTTTCCAACTCCCTGTGTCCTGCCCGTGCACAAGTATACAAGGAGCTGGGAGGGAGCACGGCCAGAGCACCAGACCCAAATTAGCCCATGAAATATTCCATATCATGTAATGTCACGCTCAGTGTATAGAATCAGGTTGGCTGAAAAGGGGGAGGGCTCTCTCTTGCTTCTGGGATTGTGGCTTTGGGATCTTGGTTTCTCTGGGATCTCTAGCTGGAAATGGGCTGGACATCAGTTGGCAGGTGGTGAGCAATTACATTGTGCATTACTCATTTGTAATTTCTATTATTACTATTATTATAATTATTATTTTAATTTTATTTCAATTATTAAATTGTTTTTATCTCAACCTATGAGTCTCCTTACTTTTACCAATCCAATTCCTTCCCCCATTCCCCGGGGTGGGGGAGGATGTGCAAGTGGCTGCATGGTGTTTGGCTGCCAGCTGGGTTTAAACCACAACAACCCAGTTGTTTTTACAATCAGGCTTTTTGCAATCAGGCTTTTTACAATCAGGCCTGTAAACTTAAATTTTGTCATTATCTAGCAATGAAACCTGTCTTTGAAAATGAAGGCTGAAGAATGTAACCATATAATAATTGTTACATGACTTTTGCTTTCTTAATGGCCAAAGAAAGATAGCAATTACTATGAACTATTTCTCAAGGTCTGTGATTTCATTTCTGTAAACTAAGCAGTTAAACCTTTCTTTTTATAAGACTGTCATGGTTTGAGCCCAGAGGTCAACTGAGCACCATGCAACGGCGCTCACTCACCCCTTAGCCCTCAGGAATGGGAAGGAGGAAACAAAGCAAAAGGCTCAGGAATCGAGGTAAGGACAGGGAGAGATAACTCACCCATTATGGCCACAGGCAAAAGACAGACTCCTTAAGGGAAGAAAAAGAGCATCAATTTAATTCAGATACTAACAACAACACCACCTAACAGACAGAGTAGGACAGTGCAAATCATTACCACATCTTAAAAACAGGCACCTGCTCTGGTGTGGGGTCCTTCATGGGCTGCAGGTCAGCATCTGATGCACCATGGACCTCTATGGATGGCAGAAATTGGCCCTGCTGTCTCATCATGGGCTGAAAGGGGGTCTCTGCACTGGCACACCTCCCCTGCTTCCTCCTCTTTTCTTCCACTGATCTCAGTGTTTGCATAGGTGTCCTCCTTGCAACTCCTCCTCACAACTCCACCTCCTTCTTCCAGGTTCCCCTTCTTAAAAATGTTATTGCAGAGGTGCAGCCACCACCACTAATTGGCTTGGCCTTGGCCAGAGGCGGGTTCAGCTTGGAGCCAGGGGAGGTTCAAGAGGCTTCTCACAGGTGGCCACCTCCTCCACTACTAGAACCCCCTGCCACACACACAAACCCAGCACAAAGATCCTCAGAAAAATGGTAAAACCTAGGTTTATCACAATATAAGGAATTCAGCAGGTTGAAGGAAACCACTAATTTAACTTGGAAAACACAGGAATTATTTTCTCTCTATTCTGATGTTCTACAAAGCAGAGCAGTATCCCAGGTATTAAACCACTAAGTGTTAAAAGGGTACATGGAAACAGACAAAATAAAAGAATCTGTAAATGTCACAAAACCAATAGGGACAGATTACTCATTTTTTACTCTGTAACACATTAATCATTAGAGATGAACCAGTCCATATTAGCCATATCAGCTCTGACTTCCAGCTTCGCATCTAGTTCCCCTCTGCAGGTTGTCTACAGCCCCAGAACAACCTAAAGGCAATAGCACCCCTAAAACCCCCACCACCACCCACAGTGGAAAGCTCAACTGTGCAGCAGTAGATAAAGGCAGAGGTGTGGTTATCAGCGTGCACCTTTCTTCACACAGTGCCAGGATCATGCTGGGGTAACACACACCAGTCAAATGAAGTGCCAAAACATAGGGTAGAAGCAAAGGGCAGACCAGCTAGAGGACCTCAGTTTGGTCTAGCAGCAGCTTTTTCTTCAGTGTTTACAAATTCATGGAGAGTCTGTTCTTCAGCTGTGTGGCTTGTTGCAGATTTTGACCTGTCCTGAAGGTACAGTCAGAAACTTTCACAGGTGCTTCATTCCATCGCTGTAACTCCCCTTTAACATCAATTAGCAAGAAATTCTCTATGGTGTCTTCAGGACCCTAGAAGGCAAGAGCAGACTGGCTTGTTTCAGCTCTGACTAACAGTAAAATCTAGTTGATTGATTCCCAGAGGAATTCGTGACAAGAAATAATTATCCATCAGTAATTTACCTGCACCCAGGCATGTAATTTTTACAGATAAAATTTCATTCCATATTGAGGCACAGTAGAAGTTTATTCTCAAAATTTGTAATAATACAATGTTTCCAACATTATGAAATCCTGTGGTAATTTGCACACTATCTAGTTCATGGAATGATTATACAGATTAATGTTTATGGTACACTTTGTTAAACAATAATTCAGAGCACTCACTACTTAGGAACTACTGTAAATGCTTACAAAGGAGGAGTGAAATTATCAGAGATTTTTGCTTTGTCTTCATAGATGCAGTCATCATCAAAACAGAAAAAAATCTGTGCCATGTAGAAGAATTGATCATTTGTACCTTTCAGAATCAAGGAAACCTGAAACCTACAAAGATTTGAGACTAGCTGTTATCTTCCAGATGCTATGGAATATATCCAGATAACTCCATCACGGACATTACTGTTGCTACTACCATAATTTAAGTTTTTTTGCACTGTTGCAATAGAATAGTTTCATCCAAGCAGATAAGGCACTCAGATTTGATGTTTAAAGACTTGCACTTCAAAGATTATCGTGAAGTTCAGAGGTATCAGAAAAGTAGAGCAATTTAGGGCTATTACACATCTTCATTAACGAAACAACCAGTAACACCTTTAGTTTCAACAAATTGCTGAACTACCATTAAAATATCTGATTTTAAAACCTATCTCAGCATAAATAGCTTGGAAGTTTTTGGAAAAATAAAATCTTGAATATCCTTTCATTCTGATCCAGCGTTTGGCCTCCTCTTCAGCTTAATCCAGATGCCATTATTTGGACGAAGAATCAGTTCTCCAGTTATACCAAGCTCCTCTGGCTTTTGACATGAGTCCACCCAAAAACGCCGCAGGATGATGGCTAGAAGAGCTTTCTCCTCCATTTGTGCAAAGCGCTGACCTACGAGTTACAGGGCAGCAAAAAAACCCAAAAAAGATGTTATTGTCAGGTTGCATCAACAGTTGCTGTATTTGCATGCTCACAGTGATACCCCTAGAAACACAGGATGGCAAGTACTGTGACTCTGCCTTGAGAACAAAACTGGCTTTAGGCCAAAATTGAGGTCATGTGGATACTACTGAAACTAGCACTTTTCTCTGCATGACAACTCTGGACTTTCTGGGACAATCCACAGCATGTCCTCTTTCCCACAGTACACAGAACTCAAACAGCAAAGAAGAAACAGTCAACACTTTATACGGAACTAATGCAAAACACAGCCTTGTCATGTATGTTGGATGGAGTAGGCACGGTGGAATGGATGACAGACCAGAGTGGGAGAAGATGCAGCACAGGGACCTCAAGGAGAGACAATCTCACTGTTTCATATATGCAGGGAGGAGCAAAGGAGATACAACTGCAACAGAATGACAGATAGACCTTCCTTCAGAGAATACACACTGATGCTTTGCTAGCACAGAGGTCAAAGTTCAATTTACATTTCAGAGAATGGTGGAGGAAGAAAGGGGAGAATAGTGAAATATGATGTAAGCCAAACCAAGTGTCACAATCCAGGCAGTTCACTCAAACTGAACTGGAAAATGGAACAGAACAAAAAAAACAGTGCTCAAAACTTTTTCTGTGCTCCCCTCTGAGTAATACGCACAGATGGATGTCTGTACATGGTGATGTATTTCTGCACTGATATGAATGAACCACCTGTCCTGCACATGTTCCTGTACATCCAGAAAGCGGCTAAATATGTAATACTAAATTAGATTCCTCTTTGGAACATGAGAAGACCTTGTCTGCTGTTCTTATGGGAAGGGCACCTATTCCCAGTGAGACAAATTAAAAACAAATAAACCAAACTAAAAAAAGAAGAAAACCCAAACAACAAAACCAAACACCCAGAAGAAATTCTATTTCCCATTCTTGTAAACAGCATGACAATGACTCATTGTGCCCCATCTGCTCTTAAGAACAGTGCAGGGAACAGTCTTTTCACAGGTTCTACAACATAAACAGCAATGCCTCTACTCTGAGTAGAGAAAAATGTCAAGTGTCTCAGCGGCACCTGATGAGCTAACAAGTCCTGGTATGACAGTGAAAACACTAGAGCAACAATGGTGTCAGAAAGAGGGAAGGAAGACATCTGTTGCAGACTGCATGTTTGGGACACCCAGCTGAGATCACGAGACAGACAGAAGAGAAGCTTCTAAAGCAAAACAAGGGCAGGACATTTGCCTTCTCTCACTCTGTCTTGCTGACACTGAGGATCAGAAATTTGGAAGCAATCCTGTCCTAGCACAGGAGCCCCTTAACATGCTGCCAGGTAGTGAGGAGGAAACACCAACATGATAGACATTGGCCCCTGGGAAGAAAGGAAGCCCTTGGGAAGAAACAAAATGTGGCAGCTTGCGGAGGCGCGGAAGAACGACACGCCGAGACGGATTCAATGTGGGTGATAAAGCATCATTTATCATATTGTATCGTATCTCTTTATTGGTCCAGGGTACATATATTTATACAGACAACACTAATTATTATGCCTACTAGTCACTAGCTGATTGGCTTAAGCTCTAAGGGTCGTATTCGCACGGTCCACCTACTTGCAGTTAGCTTACAGCACAAGCTTCTCATAACACTAAGTTTCTCATGCCACTATTTCTAATTCCTCTTAACCTGTTTTCAAGACACCACGGTACACAAGGCCCAAGCATCCTTGACATTCCTCATGTATCAGCAGCTGCGAGCAGCTGCAGGCAAACCCTAGTGAGGCCCAGCATCAGCGAGGCAGCATCAGCCCCTAGAACAGGCTCTGATCATACAATTGCTCGGTGGGCTCAGGACCCTTGTCTCTGAGCCATTCTCCAACAGCAGCTCAAGCACGAGACTTGCAGGAAAGACAGCACCCAGAATTTGTTGGGGATGGGAAAGGGGGGAGATGAGGGGAAAAAGACAAGCAGGCACGTCAAGACTTAAATTTCTCATACACTCACTGCTGCCACACTTACCACAACAAAATCAGCACTGTCACATTACAAGCTCTTCCTCTTCAGCTACCTACCAATGCAGTTCCTGGGACCAGCTGAGAAGGGCACGTAAGCATATGGGTGCCTTCCCTTACAATTTTCAGGGAAGAATCTCTCGGGTCTGAACTCCTCTGGGTCAGGGAAGATCTCAGGGTTTCTATGCAGAGCGTAAGTTATGACAATGACATTTGTTCCTTTTGGTACCTGATACCCTCCTAAAAAGAAAAGGGAAAGGGAGAAGAAGGGTCAGAACAACAGTAGGTAAGTGATTTTCTATACACAACAACACAATAAAAAATAAAACAATGCTGCCCTTTACTTGGGAAACACTGTCTGTGAGGAGATGCTAGCAGGATAGTGTGTTGGGTTTCTGTGTGTGTAGCAGCGGGTTTTGGTAGCAGGGGAGGAGCTACAGTGGTGGCCACCTGTAAGAAGCTTCTCAAAGCTCCTTCAGCTCCAAGTCAGACCCACTTCTGGCCATGGCTGAGCCAATTAGTGACAGTGGCTGCGCCTCTGCAATAACGAATTTAAGAAGGGGAACCTGGGAAGGGGAGTTGGAGTTGTGAGGAGTAGTGAGGGAGACACCTATGTGAACACTGAGGTCAGTAGAAGGAAGGTGGAGCAGGGGGGAAGGTGTGCCAGAGCAGAGACTCCCTTTCAGCCCATGGTAAGACGGCAGGGCCAACTCCTGCCATCCATGGAGGTCCATGTTGCATCAGATGCTGACCTGCAGCCCGTGGAGGACCCCGCACAAGAGCAGGTGTCTGTGCCTGAAGGAGGACAGGAGTCTGGGGGAAGAAGAAGCCCCTACTTTTATAGTTCAGCGCTGGGAGGACTGTGACACGCAGGAGGGACCCACATCAGAGCATCTCTGGAAGAGCTGGAGCTTGTGGGAAGGACTCACGTTGGAGAAGTTCATGGAGGACTGTCTCCCGTGAGGACCCCACGCTGGAGCTGGGGAGGACTCCTTGCAGTCCTCCCCTTAGGAGCAAGGAGCAGCAGAGGCAACAGGTGATGAACTGACTGCAACCCCCATCCCCTGCTCCACTAAGGTGGGGAAGGTAGAAAAATAGGGAGCAAAGCCTTTTGCCCATGACTAAAATGGGTGAGACAAACCTCCCTCTCCTTATCTCAGCCCCCCAGCCTTTTGTTTTATTTTCTCCTTCCCGTTCCTGAGGGGAAAGGAATAAGCAAGTGGCTGCATGATGCTCAGTTGCCCTCTGGACTGAAACAGTAACAGATAGGAAGTGGCAAACGCAGGACACTACTTACTAATACAGCAATCCTCTCTTAAGGCACGGGCAAACAGTGGAACTGAAGGGAAGAGCCGGAGGGCTTCTTTCACAACACACTCAAGGTATCGAAGCTTCTTCAAATCGTCCATTGTAACAGGACGCTCTGTGTTGCCTATCCAGAAAAAAAATAGGGGGATAAGCAAGACCAAAACTCTGCATCGTTGGTTAAAGAAACTCATCCCAACTCCCTCCAGGAACTCTTATCACGTACCAAGATGACATAGGAGAAGGTGCTACACATACACTGAACATGCATGCCTTGCTCCAAAGATTGGCTGTACTCTCCTACAACCCTTCCCATACCTGTCCCAAACACCTCTAGCTACTGAAAGCTCCAGAAGGGCCACTAGGCACATTCCCACCTCCCCTTCTACATCTAGGCTTATAATATACCACATCCCCACTCACAAACACAACCACCACCACAACCCCAATGAAGAGGGAATGGAAACGTACCAAACACCTCATCCAGTTCTCTGTGAACCTTCTTCTGGGCTTCAGGATTATGTCCAAGTAAGTACAGGGCCCAGTTCATAGCAGCTGCTGTTGTATCATGGCCCTAGAGGTCCAGATTTACAAAGACATTCACTTCAACACCATTCCTGTGCACAAGTAGGCTTCATAAATACTTAGGTGTGCACATAGTATGAAAAGTGAGACTTATTAGTCCCATGACCACAAGAATGACCAGTTTGATGCCAGTGTCAGCAATAGATGCCCAGAGCCTGGAGAGGGGTCACAGGTCAGCAGGAGAGCACCTGAAGAGCAGCACAAAGGAATTCCAGACAGTAAGTCGGCTTCACTGGGAGCCCAATTTAAATGCCTCTAGGCAAATGCATGTAGCATGGGAGATACACAAGAAGAGTTAGAGACGTGAGCATGTCTGCAGGTCTGTGATCTTACTGGCATCATGGAGACATGGTGGGATGACTCCTAAGACTGGAGCGTTGGAATGGAAGGATACAGGCTCTTCAGGAAGGACAGGGAGAGGAGACAAGGAGGGGGTGTCACCCTCTATGTCAATGACCAGGTGGAGTGCATGGAGCTCTGGCTGGGGATGGATGAGGAGCCAACTAAGAGCTTACGGGTCAGGGTTAAAGGGAGGGCAGGGACAGGTGGCATTATAGTGGGGGTCTGCTACAGGCCTCCTGACCAGGAAGACCAAGTGGATGAAGTTCCCTATATACAGATAGGAGCAGCCTCATGTTCACAAGCCCTGGTCCTCATGGGGGACTTCAACCACTCCAATACCTGTTGGAAAAGGACTTGGGGGTATTAGTGGATGGAAAACTGAAGATGAGCTATTAATGTGTGCTCACAACCTAGAAAGCCAAACATATCCTGGGCAGTATCAAGAGAAGTGTGGCCAGCAGGTCCAGGGAGGGGATTCTCCCCCTCTGCTCTGCTCACATGAGACCCCACCTGCAGTGCTGTGTTCAGCTCAGGGGCCCCCACCATCAGAATGACATGGACCCACTCAAGCAGGTCCAGAGGAGGCCACAAAGATGATCAGGGGGCTGGAGCACCTCCCTTAGGAGGACAGGCTGAGAAAGTTAGGGTTGTTCATCCTGGAGAATAGAAGGCTCCAGGGAGACCTGGAGTGGCCTTCCAGTACTTAAGGCAGACCTACAGGGAGGGTGGGGAGGGACTCTATCAGGAAGTGCAGTGATAGGACGAAGGGTTAACAGTTTTAAACGGAAAGAGGGTCGATTTATATTAGCTATAACGAATAAATACTTTACTGTGAGGGTGGTGAGACAGTGACACAGGTTGCCTATAAAAGCTGTGGCTGCCCCCTCCCTGGAAGGGTTCAAGGCCAGGTTGGACGGGGCTGGGAGCAACCTGGTCTAGTGGAAGGTGTCCCTGCCCGTGGCAGGGGGGTTGGAACTAGATGATAGTTAAAGTTCCTTCCAACCCAAACCATTCTATGATTCTATGAAAAACAAAAATCAAGAGTGAAGAACTTTATCTAACATGCTGATTATCAGAATATAAGATGACCCATGAATCTGTTAGGTCCCTGAAAACTGACCAAAAGGGAAAAGTGTTGAAATAAATGAAGCAAACATCCCTCTCTCCTCAGCCTCCCAGAAGCTGCATGAACTACCAGTATCTACACAATGAAAGAGATATGTATTCATCTTTTTGGTTACTGTCCAGCCAATAATGGAACATCCAGGGGGCCAATATCTACCACAGGAGAGCTACAACAGACACAATCTGAAACCTTTACAAAACTGTCCAAAAAAGCATGTAATGAGACACAGACAGTGGCCACAGGAGGGAATACTTCTTGGTTTCCTATGATAAGGCGAACAGCTACTACAGTTCTCAGCACCACATAAAAACTTGGAAAGGAAATAAAGGGAAGGGGAACCAAAAGAAAAAAAAAAAAAAAGAGAAAAGGGAAAAGTTGACCACCAATGGATTTTGGTACTAAAAAAGGTACATTTGTGAAGTTCGGGATGATGCACCTCTTCAAAATCCAGCTATGAAATAGTACAGGTGTGATAAAATGGGAAGATAGTTTCTCTAGGTTACAACCGCAGTAATATAACTCTGAATTAAGCTCTTCTGAGATACAATTCAGGTTCACTTAATGAAGGTGTGTGGAAAATTTGTGGAAGTCTTGTTTAGATAATTCATTGGACAGGTAACCTGACATGATGTCCTGGGTTTGAGTGAGTGGTGGGGTCTTTTGGTAGCAGGGGAGGGGGGTATAGGGGTGGCCCCCTGGGAGAAGCTTCTCAAAGCTCTCCTAGCTCCAAGTCAACTCTGCCTCTGCACCAAACTGAGCCAATCGGCTGCACCTCTGCGATAATGTATTTAAGAAGGGACATGGTGAGAAGGAGTCGGGTTTGTGAGGAGGAGTTGTGGCAGCTGCATGAACACCAGGTTCAAAACACAACACATGACAAGACAGTACCAATGCCCAGTTGTGGACAAAGCTGTGAGGTTATAGTCAGTGTGGCAAGGGACAAAATGTGAGGAGCTGACAAAATGCATAGCAAAACACTGAAACCATTTAGAGCTCTCATTAATGAAGTTTGCAACAGGACCTGTGAGCCCATAGCCCATGTCATCCCTTAAGCTCTTATTACTCACCTGCTTTCATAAGTAGGGCCTGCTCACATAGGCAGGGCCTACCACATATGTATTGCCTAACATTTTGCCAGGGCACACAATCCTGGATCAAATGTTTCTATCCTACAGATATTTCCTCTTAGGCTTCCGGGGCTAAAATAACTTCATACTAGAAGCAACCTCCTGAACTAATAAAAGGAAGAGTCATTACCTGCAAATGGTCAATCTCAGGTTCTGGAAAAAAACAGAACAAAACAAAAAAACAAGAAACCAATGGGTTCCTTGGGTACCTCAAACATGAAAGTATCCACTTCCTCACGTATGTCCCTGTAGCTCAATTTATTCCCTTCATCATCTGTTGCATTCAGCAGCATGTCCAGGAAAGCCCTCCTCTTTTTGGAGCCACTTTCTTCATAGTTGCCATCAGTATTACATTTTGTGTGTTTGGAGTTTTCAAATTCTGCAGCTTTTTCTGCAATCACCTGAGATTAGAACCATTATATTAGATATGACACACATAGCACATGCGCACAGTCTACATCACACAGGTTTGTCCCAAAGTATTAAAACAAAAATAACCATCTGTAGCAGTCTGCATGAGCTAGTTAGCAGAGCTGTCAAAATTAGCTCATGAGCTTTAACTGACTTTTTGTGTTAGTAGGTGAAATATGAACAACCTCTCTCGTTCCAAGCACTAAAATGAAGCTTGAATAGCCTTTGTGTGATCATGAAAATAGATAGCCAAACTATGCAAACTATTGCTGATCATCAAGAAGTGTAAACACATCCAGAACAAGCCAATTGTGAATGTCAACAATAACAACAGCAAATCAAAAAACATCACTACAATTTGAACAGGTTCATCAGCAAGAAGATATTCGCTACTCTATCCGATAACTAAGGAAAGGATGACTTCTCCAATTTTGGGGGAACCCAGAAGATTGAAGAAAAGCCAGGGCACCCCACAACTCTGCATCAGGACTACAAATACCACAACTGTAGCCATTACACTAAAGCTTCCCAAATGTTCTTCAGTATGACAACAATGGTTGAACTTCCCTTTTTTAGGTCAAAGCACAGCCCCAGAGACAGACAGAGATTTCCTGCTGTCACCACTGTTGTCATAACAGCAAAACAGAATCCTTCAATAAATTGGTATTGCTCTCAACAACAACAAAATCATTAAAAATAAAGGCTGTAGAGTATGCAATTCTTTTCAGAAGAAGCACTGAATGGGAAAAAAATTAGTTATACACACACAGACGAGTTTTCCTCACCAAACATACATACATAAAAACACATATTGAACCACCTTTTACCTCAGTGCATTCTGTCAGCACCTACACTGGGTGAAATTATTATTATTAATTACTGATCCTTTGTCATCTTCTAAGATTTGACTTCTCATATCCAGTGCAGCAGACCAGCATGGAAAGAGAGCGAGTGTTACCTTGGTCCCTTTAAGAGTCTCTCTCATGCCTCACTGCTGCAATTCCCAATAAAAGGAATCAAAACATGAACTACTTAAAAACAACACAGAGTCAATGTGGCTCATTATATGTAGTGAAAGTTCAGAGATTATTTTCTTTGTTGTGGGCCTTGATACAATGACATCATGGGGTACATACACCTATTTCAGGGAAAGCAGCCTCCCTGGTAACATCCTAACGGTAGATTTGGGAGGGCAACCACTGGCAAGAACAGCACAGAGGCTATATGGTGAAAGAAACGGGTGTTACTTGCACAGTCTAACATAGTGAGAGAACACTGCATTTTATGCCAAGTCAGTGATATATGCTTAATGGTTTCTGTGTCAAAGTGTCTTACTGCTGATGTGGGGACCTGCATGTGTTTGCTCATCTCAGCAGTTCTGCTCTGAATAGGAAAAAATGAGTACAGGCTTCCATTTCTGAGGGCTGCACCAAGTGACACTACCAAACAGAAAGCCCTGTGCTCACTGCTACAAACTTGGCAGTGAGCTGCTGCAGGTGATTCAGATGTGGAGTATCTGGGGCAGAACAAGAGTTCAGTGAACGCCTGTTGTTTGTTTCAGTTGTCAAGGACTCGTAGGTGCTGTTACTCCCCTGGAGTAGTATACTCCCTTGTTTGAATACAACAGAGCTCCTGACAGAGAAGTCAGCTCTTGTCTTCTTTTCCGGGAATTCCTCAGCATCACAACAGAGAGGTAGCTCTCCTTTTAACAGATGCATATCAAGGGGGCTGAACCTCACCCCTATTTAGAAGTTCTGTACTGAGTGCAAGATTCTCTCCAACAACTAGAATGTACCATTAAAGAAAAAAAAAAAAATGTATACTGTATCTGTAAAATTATGAAGGATCTTGAGGTTCCTGTCATGCTCTCTTCCTTCCTTGAACAGCATGTATACAAGATCAGGCCAAAGCCAAGGGCTCTTCTGTCGCTCGTGAATTAGATCGCTCATCCTAAGGGCACAACAATTACATAATGTAACATTTCTTGACAAAAAGTAAACCTACAACATACTTTCAAGAACCAAAAAAAAAAACGTTCTACCTCCTACAATGAAATTTAACTTAAAATACTGTGTGGGTTTAAACCCATTCATCTGAAAGGAAGGCTGTTCATATTTGTTTCCTGATTTTAAACCATCTCAAAATTTCTGTAACCTGTCCCAGCATCACCAATTTATGTCTTTAAGCACTGATCTCAAGGAAAGCATACTCTCACTTAGTGGGAATACTCTTGAAACAGACATATTAAGTCATCCAGTCCAGTCACACTCCACATGAGTAAAGTACTGATCATGCTGAAAAGGTATGTACAACCTGACAACACTACTCATGTCAGGGCTCCAAAGTATCTGCTCCATGATTTCAGTCATCTAAAAGCATTACATTCCTACCTGACTGTCCAGATACCATATATGCCAGAGAGCATAGGAAAAGTATTTGAAATAAAGATTATGAAACCTCGAGTATGCTCAAAACACAACTGGAGTACATCTGGAAGGGCTGATTGTCATTTCTATTCAGCTCCTGCACATGCTTTTGGCTGCAGAAAGAGACTCTGAGGAGCAATTACTACATTTAGACTGACTTTGGCCCAGCCCACTTGTAGTACCATTTGGGAAAGGCCAAGGAACCCATGACAATCAAATCCTCTAATTCCACTCCTTTTTTGTAACACACCTATCTCAATGAGCCCCATCAAAGGCTAGGGGTAAGGTGCCACAAGCAGCTACATCTCATCTAGGCTGACACACTAGTGTGGTAGGAATATAGACCATGCTTCTCCTAATGCACTGGACAGTCACATACAATTTGAATGGTGTAAATACTGCCATGAACTGCAGAGCAGCAGTACCTCAGCTTTTACATGCTGTCTAAAACAGCACCCTCCCAATTCTGCTTGTCATGCCGATATGAAATGTTGCAGCTCCATTTTTTTTTTTTTTTAACTTCTTGTACCAATGGATTAACTGAATGGCAGCTGACACCTCTTCAAAGCCTCAGCCTCCCATTGTAGATACACATACCAGAAAATGCATCAAAATCTGCAGGAGTTTTTCCTGCCTTTTTGGCTTTCTTCCTCCATCTGTGATTTCCCAGCCCTCCCTCCTGGCTCACAGCAGATGAATGCCTGACGCCAGCAGCATCAACTCAGCCCCACTACAAAGTAGCCAAGGAAAATGTCCATTTACCTGTAGACAGCACGAACATACTCAGAATCCTGATTCTCCTGAGCACCTACATTCTTCCCCATCGCTGTTTCTAGGAGGAGGAAATAATCAACAGTTCATGAGTGCCAAGTAAAATGCAGAGGCCCTTGTATACGATAGGTTACGACTGCTCCCAGACTCTGACTGTCACCACACAGCCCCTTCAACAGGTAAATACACACATCCCTTTCCAGGTGATGAACTTGCTTTATATTTTCATGCCCAGGAACCCTGCTCCTCAACACAACCTCAATTCAGATTACCTCTGCCCTGCCCGTCCCACAAACTCACCTGCTCAAACACCCTAGGAGAAAGGATGGCCTTGGGAGGATGGAAATGCATTCACACAATATGCAGGGACATTCCTCTTCAACTGTCTCCTCACACAACACGGCACAGTTGTACTCATGAGTCTCTGCATCATTCACAGCCCCGCCACAGTAACTGAAGAGGACTTACCACAGATGATATCAAGGGCACACAGAGTGATGTCTAGAATGACATCAAATGGTTCCTTGTCAACATGCTTCTCAAGTTTCTCCAATAAAATACCTCCTTGTTCATTCATAACCTCTAGAAAGTCAGTTAAGATTGTGAAGTGGAATGTGGGAGTTATCATCTTCCTCCGCAACCGCCACTTGTCTCCGGTGCTGCAAAATTTAACAGGGTTAAAAACTCCAAGTGAAAAATTAAACCCTCACCATCACAGGAAGTACACAGTAAAAACTACAGCCTGGAACACCTTCACAAATGGACATGCTGTAGATGACTCTTCAGGTTTTACATAGCACTCCCCAGAAGGAGCAAAACGGAAGTATTTCTTGCTCCAGCTCTCTTCAAAGAACAAGCCACCATTTCTATAGCTGCCCTTGACAAAAAAAAAAAAAAAAAAAAAGATGCCAACAAGCCTTTAGGCAATGCAGCCTCGTGGTTGCTCAGTGCACAGGCTCAGAGGGATCAAGCAGAATCCATCTATAGGACAAACCAGCTATTCAGCATCTAGGCCTCCAGTCATCCCACTGTCTCTGTGAATCACCACCCGTGCTTGCCTTCATCCACTGAATAGGAAATGAGAATTGCAGAGAACTAGGGTATACAGACTTAACAAATTATTGCCTCAAGGTCTGGCTACAAAGTACTTCCTTGGAGATAGGCAACCAACTCCCACATGTCAGTGAAAGAGCATGGATCCAGAGCAGGTGACACCAGCTTCCTGGGGGTTGTTTGCTTTTTCTGAATCACATACCCCACAGACACACAACTGGTAGCTCTGCTTACAAGGTGAACCATCCCACCACTTCTCCTGTTAACCTTCTGTTGGAGCACTCCTCAGGACATCTTATCTGTTTGCTGCCTACCACTACTGCCCTTAATCAACAAAGACTAGAACATTCTCCTCCATTATGTTTTTGCAAGCACAGGGAAGTGAGAACACCTCTAAAAGTCTACCGGAGACAAAACAACCAGTAAGGAAGACAACTAACAGTGAGGATACACCATGCCTGACACCCACAGACCTCAACTCTCTGCACTTTGATATTCATTACTGCCTTCTTAAGGGCCACAAATGAACCTCAGGATAAAGGGCATTCCTCATCCTCGCCCATAAACTTGCATCTCCCACACTGTGTGATGATAGCTAGCTTTTACGACACTATGGTCACACCACAAAGCACGAGGAGTTCACCTCTGAGGGCTCCAAACCAGAAAGAAAACTTCACAGCTAAGAGGGGGACCTTGACCTTCTCGCACAAACACAGAAGAAGCACAAAGGCACCAGAGTCACTCTTGCTCTGACTCTTGAATACCTGCATCATCCAGACCAAACCTTCCTTGACCCTCCCAAGACTGGAGGACTCCAAGCCCTTACATCACTGCTTCTCCACCTTTCCACTTCTGATTTGCACTCTTACCCAGGCTCACTGCTTATAAGTCTCCACTTCATGAGGCAAATGGTGGACAGGGTAGAGATACTCTCCCATCCTACTCCAAAGCATCATCAACTCCAGGTCCATCCTACTGGTTTGCAGCACCACCAAGATAGGCAATGCACACAGTCACAGTTCTGCCATGGTCTGACCGCTCGACACACATCACAACATTCAAAACATTCAGTGTGCCACACTGCAGACTAAGAGACACCGCTTGCCATAGGATACAACTTCCCAAAACTCACATTCATTTCAAGCCTCTGGACAAAAAAAAGTAACAAAAGCCAAATTTGCCAAGAAACAGACAACGACAAAAGACTTTTATCAGACACTAGCTGCTAAAGAGCAACCAAGACCATCACAACGAGTAAGATTTCTACAGCTATCATCTACATCTCTGTCCAAAGATACACACAACAATCCTGCCACCAAGTCCTCTTCCTACAATATACGCTGAAAATTTCAAAAAGACAGCAATGCACCTGCCACGTGCATTCCACTATACCTCGTCAGAAGTCCAGTGCCCAGCCATGGCTGCAGGAATTTGTACAGGTACGATTTTTCTATATGTTTTGAACTGTTCAGAATAACCTGTCAGAAAAAATGAGAGAGGAAAAATCACTTCTTAGATGGAGGGAGATTTCTTCAGCTGAGATTACTTCGCACTACCTCAGTTCCTCCACAAAAAATGTCCCAAGCCTCAGTAAAATGCACAGTATTTCAGTACAAGCTGGTAGACAGGGGGAAAGTTGATTTCAGACCCTCAAGTCCTTCAGTAAATATCCCAATCATGAGAAACAATGAAATACTCAAAAACTGTTTACTACCACTCCCCTTATCTTCCTGAAAAAGAAAAACCTGTATTACGAAGTCATTGGCAGAGCTCAGAAAAAATCCAATGGTTTCCAGCTTTAACCAAACTCACAAAAAGTACCACCTCTTCAATAAACACTTCAACAAAGAAGCAACTCTACTTTCCCAGTTCAAGGACAATCACTGCCAATAGCAATACTGAAGACTACATTTCATGGCATCAAGACAGACCCACCGAGTTCTAATGCAGAAGTCAGTCAGACAGGCACAAGCATTGAAACCTGCATTTCATGATGTTCTATCCCTATTTCAGTGGTCCCATCTTCCCTGCTATCTGCTTGTCTATTCTGGTCTTGGGAGCAGAAGCTTTTGCATATGTTAAAAGAAAGCTAAAAGAGATGATGTCTGTATAGAACATACTGAGTTGGTGCTTTCATTTGCTGGCCATCTTCAGTATTTATTTTTTTCCAAGATGAGGCTTTTTATATTATTCCACTTTCAGCCTTTCTTTAGCACTGGGTCAGAGGACAATCTCAAGTAAAATCAATCCAAGCCCTTTTTCACAAATATTACATTAACAGAATAGAACTAACAGGTTGGACACTGCTTTGCATGACAGTAGACAGGAGATGAGCACACCCACCTCCACACTTTCAGGGTGATATAAAACCATGACAGGCAATGGTCCTATCCAAAGTTTGAACAATGGCCAACTCCTGAGCTCTTCGACGTAAGTTTGTAGTTGTTTAAAAAAACCTGTAATGAAAAAAGTAGATTAGAATTTTAAAAAAAAATGGTGTTTTGCTGAATAAGCATGACTTCTGTAATGAACTCTTTATCACCATATGCCCTGTAATTATCTTTTTGCTGTAGTTTTATCTTGCTGCTATGACCAAACAGCATATATTGCACCTAGCTATTAACTGTACTGCAGGAGCATTTCTTTATGGCTGCACTCTTGAAGGCAGTCTATTCTAGAGAAACCCCTCCTAGCTGTAGATAAGGCAGTTTGATTTAAGCAGTCTCAAAGCACTGCAGCATGAGCCTTCTGTATTGCAATGCTCTTTGTAACAATTAGAGCCAAATCAAACTTTATCAAGGCTATGCTTACAATTCAGCTTATCTGACACAAGCAAAAATGCTCTAGAGAGGCTTTGTTACTTTCAAAGTACAACATCAAGCCTTTTCCCACCTGAGACCTCATTGACAGGTACTACACTTGTGGTGCACACACAAGTGATGTCATGCACAGTAATGGCAGAGAATTGCGCAGGAACCAGTATCACTTGAAATGTCTAGTTTCTAATAGCTGGACTGCTGAGAAAATCTTTGGAGTCCTTACACCGTTACTGTTTTTCAGCAAACGAATTGGTTCTAACTCCAACATGCTTAAATCCTCTCACTCTCATGCAGCCCTAACCAGCAGTGATGGTTTGCAATTCTAGCAGGGGCTCTTGACAGCTGGCTGCTCCAGGATTAAACTCTACTCTTGTCCTTTTATAAACCTTACTGAAGGGTAAGTGGCCACTTACAGGGCCACTGTGGATTTGGCAGTTCAGATGTCCCCACTAATAAGGGCACAAAGACTCACAGGATCATTTATGCCACAGATCACCTGACAGATACCACTATTTTCCAGCTGCCAGTTGGACTTCATACCACTGAGCTCAACAATCCAGCCAATTCTCCACCCACATTATTATCCACTTATCCAGTCCACATTTTGTCAGTTCAGCTATACAGAAAGCATGGGAGATGGTATCAAAGATCTCACTGAATCAAATTAAACACCATCTATTCCTCTTCCCTTGCTCACAGATCCAGCTATCTCATCATAGAGGGCAATTAGATTCATTCTGCAATTCTAGAGGACATGGCTGCTATCAGGATGTTTAAGGATTAAATATGCTTTTGCCCTTTCAGAAACCAGATTAAACAATAAATTATACCCTCCAAGGCCTCGGCAGAGTTGAAAATTCAAATTCCCCAAATCAAAGGGGAAAAAAAAAAAAAAAAGGAAAAACCTAGTTTCCTAATAGATACCCAAATACAACATTCCTTAGTCTTAGGCAAAGTTCTAATGACATCTCATCCAAAAGGCTTAAAAGTGTCAGATTATTTTGCTTGTTTTTAAAATATTTTTTCTCCTAACATCACCATGATTAAAATAACATTTGTCTACCAATATCAATAAATAAAATCACCAACAGATTAAAAGTAATTTTTCTTATTGCTATAAAATCTTAACCTTTTTTCTAAAAACTATACTTTTTTAATTGTCACATTAAAAACCTCACTCATTTTTACATAAATAAAAAAACAAACCTCACTCATTTTTACATAAATAAAAAAGAACAAAGATGGATGGTCATGGACTTAAAGAAAGAATGGAGGCTATGTGACTCCTGCTAACAAAGGAGATTAGAGACTCCATAGAACATAAGTCTCCATCAAATTGCTTTCTGGAGAGACCATCAATGTTCTGGTTTGTTTTGGTTTGTTTGTTTAAGAAGATTTAAAAAGAAGAAAAGGAAAAGGGAAAAAAAAGAAGATTTGGCTCTCCGTCAGGCTCATATACACATCCTAACTATGATCCTGCCACTGCTTCCCCAAAGTCTACTTCAGGGAAATCTGCCTGCCCTTGCTTCCACCAAAGAAAGATCTCTCATATCTGTATTTGGTTATGGGGTTGGATCCAGAGGAAAGATGTGAGCGTGTACCCTCGCGAACAGAGAGACTGTGTCTCAGCGTGTGTCAGCGCTGGGCAATGTACGCGCCCGTGCTGTACTTGTCCTTGGCTTCACTGTGCTCCCATGACCCAGACACACTCCCTTCTGGCAGCACAGCCAGGAACGCACATGGACAGAGCAGACTGGCATACACAGGCATCCCAAACATGCCCAGAAGAGACTGCTGGTCCACTGACAGCACAGCCAGAGACACTTTCACACCGCAGACTCCTCAAGAAATATGCTCCTGTGCAAAACCGAGTACCAAATGGAAAAGGAACATGTAGCATGCTAGTGCTGTCTCAGGCACCTGTTGAAAAGAAGGTACCATTGATCAATGTGAGAACAGAAAGGTTTGTTTTTGAGAGATGTATTGCAAATATGCAGCAAGTTCTTCCACATCTAACACATAAATCTAAGGGACAGCTAATTCTGAAAATAATTGAGCAACTCAGCATGCTAAAGTTCTTCACACATGCTCACTTGGGGGAAGATAATTGTTTAAAGAAGTATTTTTCCTTCACAAGCTAAAAGCTTTGTTTGGATCAGAGTCAACAGCATTGTGAAACAGCACTTCCTGCAAGAGCCCCCAATATATCTGCCTGTTGCAAAAACATGTTCCACAGTGTTTGAGCTCCGCCTCACCAACAGCTGGAAATGGGTCTGAGTCCAGCATCAGCATTCAGAAGCCACTGTCAGACTGAACCTCTAGCTAATCTTTGTCTGATGATAACCCCATATTTATGCAGTTATCCTTTCCCCTCCACTACCCACATCTCACACAGTTCCCCTCTGCAAGGTTGCCCACCGCCCCAGAGAGACCTAAAGGCAATGGCACCCCTTACCGCCCCTCCCAGCCACAGCTGGACCACCCAAGCACCTCCACCAGTGCTCTGGCTCCTCAAGCAAAGCCCCACACAATGCAGGGACCTCACAGCTGGGCTACAGCCTGAGCTGCCCTTACCTTGTCCATCCCGCTCCAAGAGCAGAGCATTTCCCAGCACAGGATAGCAGGGGCTGATACCCGGGATCGGCTTCATCACCCACCATCGCCTCCAGTAACCCATCAGGGAGGGCAGGGAGCACACAGCCACAACCGTCAGCAGCAGGGTGATAACCCCAGCCCCCAAGTGCAGCAGCTGGGATTCCCCTGCAGCTCCTTGCATGGCTTCCATCGCCACCTCCCAGCCTCCTGCTCCAAAGCCTTGATCCCTACCGGCAAACTGGCACTGCCTGTACCCGGCTCCTCTGCCTGTACCCAGCTCCTCTGCCTGTACCCGGCTCCTCTGCCTGTACCCAGCTCCTCTGCCTGTACCCAGCTCCTCTGCCAGGAGCTGTGTGTGCTGGAACCCAGGCCATGAGAGCAGGAGGCGGAGCTGTCACACAGGCCCCAAGGCACAGCTTCCTGCCAGGGAAATAAACAAAGATATAAAAAACACACACACGTGGAAAGGCTGCCTGCAAGCACTTAGTGAGGGCAGAGCAGCCAGGGGGAACAGTGCCATTTCCCTGCCCCCATTTGGCTCCTCTTACTTGAGTGAAGAGTGAGGAAGTTCTTCGCAGGCCCATGAAGTACCTCAGGAGGGAAAGACACAAACCGCTGTCAAGAGAAAAACCACTTTTTTGCTCATTTGGGAAGGATAGGTTTTCTCCACATCGTCTTCCTCCATCTGTTTTCAGGTGCTCAGGGAACACTATTTTGCAACACAGAACTGTTCTAATGCTCTCCAACACAATGCCTGAAGGATTTCAAGTGCTTCAGATGAGCAGTAGCTTTCATCAGTTGGAATGATGGCTTCAAGGGGTTACACATACCAGAATACATCCAGATCCAGGATTAAGAGCAGCACTGCAAAGCACACCGATGCTTCTCAGGTCAAATGGCCTTTACTGATCTCACTGTCTTTTCACTGATCTGGATGCTCAGCCACAGTCTAAAGGGTGCCAGTAACATGACTGGCAGCACCAGCACCTGTGTCACAACTTGCAAAGTGCTTGGGTAGAAGTGGTACCATACCCACCGTATATCCAGCTACCTTTCCTGCCTCAGGAGGATCCAGGATCTCTTCTCACCGCTGCAGGGCTGCTGAGCACTTGATACTCAGTCTCCAATGCTCAGAAACCTTGTGGTCAAACAGCAGTTCGGTGAAAAGACAGCAAGGTTTACGGACAATTTGCAAAACTTTACCCCCTGAATATACCACAAAAGCTTCTTATAGCCATAGTCATGTTTCTCCTGTCTGTTTTGTACCTAAATTGACTGCACTGGCTGCACCAGCATTTGAAGTAAATGAACAAACAGCATAAACTAAGCAACTAAGATAAGAAACACAAATAGAGAAAGCTCAGAACATCAGAAGCTAAGGAAGGGTGATGACCCTTGGCAGCAGAGGGGAGTAAATTTTTGCACTTTGTTTCTGCAATCTTCCAGCAAACACTTTCTCATAAATGCTGATTGTTGCAATTTTCTGCATAGTAAACAGCTGGAAACGAACTTTGTTACTCTTGCTGTTATTTGTAATAGTTTGTGACAAAAGGCAGCAGATATATGCCCTGTCTTGCAAACACATAAGGCAAACTACATAGCCATCAGTCCCCTCTTTTGTTCAGGTGACATGTCAGGAAGAAAGCAAGCATGCAGGATTAAGAGGCTCGCTGTTTGTCTTTGTAACATGGAGATCAGGTGAGTAATTATACTCTTTTCTTTATAAATAACCTTGTAGTTTGTTGCTTGATCATTAGATGAAGTGGTTAATTGTGATTCTGAATCAAAATCTGTGTTTCTAAACGCTGATAACTCCTGCAGGAAAAAAAAATTAACAGCAGTGAAACAGCAGGAACAGGGTGAAAAGCCACAGGGAAAGCAGTAGGGAACAGGACAGAACAAACTGCAAAATCCTGACAGTGGCTGGCAATGGTGATGCTGCTAACAATAGGCAGCAGCTGCACTGGAATGAGATGTAAAAGATACACCCAAGAAAGGTGAAATGAGAGGTCTGGTATCTCTGAGACCTAATTATGTCACTGAGACTTGCAATCATTACGAACCTTGGAGGATATTCTGTAGGAGAGGAGTTTACCAGATTGTGATTAACATTCCTTTTTCACCTGGAGAGCTATCTGATCAGTGTTGGATTTCAATGAGCACTCCACTGGGTAGTGAATCTTCGCTTTTATAAATGCACATACAAGTGAAAATCTGCTTTTACTCAACCTCTCTCCTAAGTGGAAGCCTGTCTGTCTGTGCTGATAGAAGGCACGCACCGCGTCAGGCAGCTGTGTCAGCCCACAGGCACAATGGCAACACAGGCTTCTGCTGGTCCTTTGAACGCAGGTCTAGATCCTTCAATGAGGAAATTGATAGAATCATTGTTACTGGCAAGAAAAACAAAAACCCAAAGCAAAGCAAGGCTAAAATGGATCTGATAAGACAGAAGGACAAAAGAGAAGTACACAACACATCCTGAAAAACTGCGGTGTGCTCTTTACATTAGTCCTCTGCCCCAGCTAAGACATACCTCACATTTTTGCCATCCCTTGCAAAAAACACAGCAACCACAGTAAGCCAGACTAACTGGCTGCTAACTTAGCAATCACTACAACTATTCTGCAGTTAGGAAGGGCTTCCCTTAGGAAGAGCTTCCCCCTTTATCAACATACATGACCAAGGCACGATTAAACTTTATGCAGAACATTACTCACACTGAAAAAATCTGTAGTCCACAACAGCCATCATGTGCACAAAGGAAAGATAATACAGCATGTCTCCATTTGAAAAGACACCTTCACTGCTGAACACCTGAGATCTCCCCCAATCCGCAGAGAGGAATTTTAGGGCCTGGTGCTGAACTTCATGCCAATATAGCCCAAAAACCTAGGCTTCAAAGCCCAAAGCTTGAGGAAGACTCAAAATAATCCAACAGAAGGATTTGAAGCTATTCTCACACAGGTAAAGGAGATTAACAGCACTTGAGAGACAGAGACCACAGCTAAATTTTTCAGAGACAGACTGATTGCTGTGATGCCCACCTCAATCAAGCATGTCCTACTACGGTTTCTGTAACCTGGTGTTCACTGTACAGCAACAACTGCTCCATTCTGTAGCCATCATTTGGGCTCCTTCACTACATTAAGTTTTGCATGAATCAATTATCCCCACCAGAATACAAAAGTCTCCTCTCTAAGAAACAAAAATCTTCCATGCCAGGATAATAACATGTCTTGCAACAAAGGAGGCCACCACCCATCCCTCAGAACACAGCCTACTGTTGTAAAGCAATTCTGATAATGTATCAGTGATGTTCTCGTAACTAACAGACATTAACGCTAAGTAGCTACCAAAGCATCACACCTATGTTTGTTTATTTATGCGTCAAGGAAAAAGCATACTCCCAAGTTGGATGGCCACAAGCCACCCCAAGGTCACAGGTGGAGATTCTGTCCACTGTTCTGTGGTTTGGCTAGATCCTCCAGGGCCTCCTCCTTGCTAAACTCTAGCAAGTTTAAATAAAGCATTTAGCAGCACGCTAGACATTACATGAAGCAAGCCAGAGGTCGTGGAGCACAAATAAAAGGAACAGTTTAAGATCTGGAAGAACTTGTGATGGTAGGTCACAGAAACACATGATACTGGAAATTTGCCAACCTGCACTCTCACAACATGGAAGATTTAGTGTCCAACATTTGCGCTAGGAAATTCACTGTCCACTTTTCATGTGCCTGCATATAACAGTCAGCTGTACAGCCTGTTAGAAGCTGTGGTGGGTTAGCCTTGGCCAGCAGCCAGACACCCAACTATTTGCTCATTCTCTCCCCTTCCTCAACAGGGTAAGGAAAGCAAACCAGATTAAAAAGCTCATGGCTCAAGGTAAAGACTGGAAGATTTCTTACTAGTTACCATCCTGGGCAAAATAAACAGAACTTGGGGAAATATGATTTAATTTATTGCCCATTAAAAATAGAGTTGAAAAATGAGAAACAAGAAGTTCCTCTCTGTCACTCTGTCCTCCTCACACTTTTCTCCTGCTCCAGCATGGTTTCTCTAGAGGCTGCTGGGGAATCTCTGCTCTGGTACCTGGAGTACCTCCTCCTCCTCCTTCACTGACCTTGGTGCTTGCACTGCTGTTTTGCTCTCTCTTTTTTCCCCCTACTCCTCTGCCTGTCCAGCATCTTTCATACTCTTTCTTAATTATATTTTCACAGAGGCACCACCAGCTTGGCTGCTGGGCTCAGCTATGTCATGCGGTGGGTCCATTATGGAGCCAGCAGGAACTGTCTGTGTTCTCTTCTCTGGCCTTTTGTCACAGAGGCCACCCCAGCAGCACCCCCACTGCCAACATCGTGACACCTATATCAAGCTGAAAAGCCTACTGTGAAACCCTTGCCAGACTGAAGGGGGAAATAGGGGTGAAATTTCCTCCACATTGCCCCGCTAGTGACACCAGAGATGTCAGCTACAAAGTGATGGATACACGCAATCTATAAACAATGTTAAATATCTGCAAAGTATACAGGTGCCTTCCTTTACAATTTTCAGGGAAGAATCACTCAGGCCTGAACTTCTCCAGGTCAGGGAAGATCTCGGGATTTCTGTGCAGGGCGTAAGTTATGACAAGAAAGGTTGGACCAGGTGACCCTTGAAGTCCCTTCCAACCTGGGATTCTACAATTCTATATGATACGGTGATTATCAGGATTTAAGATGACCCATGATTCTGTCAGGTGCCTGAATACTGACCAAAAGGAAAGAGTGTTAAAATACTTCTGGTAGCCAGCAAACATCCCTCTTCCCCGCCTCTGCCACCTGAGAGCATTCCATTGCTGCTCTAGTAATTAGCAGATCTTTCCTTTCAAGATGCAGAAACAGATGCTCGTTGCTCTGCTCTTCTCTCCATTCAGAAATCCAGTGACTGAACTCCATCACTTCACAGAGGTCAGCAATCTTCTCTCTTTCACAAAGTGCCAGATGATGAACCACTCTTCACTGTGTGGTTCCCACTTCTGCCATTACAGAACCAAACTGGCACATACTCATCTTCTCATTTAGTCCACAGTGTAAGATCTGGGTTGTCATGAAGTGCCATGAGATGGTAAGGGTCACAATTTGCCATTGTTTCTGTGCATTCTTGTCAATGTCTATATAGTACAGGAGGTAACACTCACGAGAACAAAAGTATGTTTTGGACACACAGCTGAAAAAGACTTAAATGGGAGTTCTGAATATTATGTCATCTTTGACCTGAGATTTCTGAAGAAACTGAATCAAATTAACCTGCAACTGTATGAAATCAACCTGCAACTCCAAAACAAAAGCATTGTGCTTTCTCAGATACTATACCATAA